AAGTAGATGTGGCCTGGAGTGATCAGGCAAGACTTCAAGGAAAAAAGAGAAATTTGAGCTAGGTCTCAAAGAATGGGTAGAATTTAAATAGGTGGAGAGAAGAGGGATGGTATTCTGGGAAAGAGGGGGACAGTGAGTAAAAGTAGTTAAGGCAGTGATGGGGCAGACCCCACAAAGCAGGTCAGCTGGACCTGAAGATACCAGACCCTGAGGCAGTCCACCATGCTAACAGGCCACCATTGCTTTCTCCTAAATGCTGCAAACATTCAGGTTACTGGGTTTAGAACTGGAAGGCAAATTAGAGATTATTTCCTCATAGCTACCATTTGCTATGGAGCTTAAAGACTTTCCAATTCTACAGCTCTTTTCACGCATGATTTCATTTGATCCTCAACAACAAACCTGTGATATGGGTGCTAGTATTAGCCCCATTTTGTATATGAGGAAACTGAGGCCAAGAGAGTAGACTTTCTCAAGTAATTGACAGCCAGTACATCGTTTAGTAAGTAGCAGAGCTGGAATGGCACCAGGCAAATGGTTGGTGGTCCTCAGGGGATAATCAGAGCTCCCTCTAATTTCCTCAGGTTAATCCTAAAGACAGTCAATATGTCAATATTCTTATTTAAATAGCAGAATCTCCTCACCTCTTCCCTACCCTATTCTTAGTATATCTGCCCCCAACTTCAAAACCGAGGTATATCTAGGAATTTTTATGCTTATGCAACCACCACAAACTGTGCTCCAGGCAAGAAGATTAACTAAGCATATCATCGGTGAAGGAGTGAGACAATGTCGCCATGGACCAGGGCCCCTGCCATGAGGCTGCAGCCAGGCAGAGGGGCAGAGAGGGATCTAGAGTGGAGCGGTGAGACGCAGGATTGAACAGGGAGACACTCATCCCCACCTGCTGTTTTAGCCCATTATTCTGGCTATGTGCTAAGCTGGATTCTGCCAGAGCTCCAAGCACCCTTGACACCCTTTAAACCTGGCCTCTTGAGAGCAGCCCAGTTTTACTCCAGCTCTGGTTTATGGTTCTGCTTCAGAGCAGGTCCCAGGCTCATTGAATTGCAGATTTGGAATGCCCTGTCTACAGGACATCTTGTCTAACCTCTAGCTCAGGAAGTCACTCTAATGTTCCTGACAAGGTGACATCCCACTTCTACTTACATGCTTTTAGTGAAGCCCTTTCCACTGTTGGTCACTTCTGTTAGAAGAGTGCTCGATTAAGCCAGAATCTGCCTCCCTATAACTTTCACTCGTTGGTACCAATCCTGGCTTCTAGTGCAACACAGAATAAATCCAATAACTCCAATATTACGTATTTAGATTTAGAGCTGGAAGGGGCTTCATTTTGCAGATGAGAAAACTGAGACCCAGAGATGGGAAATGATTTGGCCAAGGTTAGGCAGATATTGATTTAATAGCAAACCCAGAGTTCTATGACTGACTCTAAATCTGGTGCTCATTCTCTTGTGCCATGCTACCTCTCAATATGTCTATAAATATTTAAGAACAACTACCATGCCATTGGTACAATGGATAGAGTACTGGGCTGGGAATCAGGAAAACTCATCTTCCTGAGTTCAAATCCAGCCTCAAACATTTACTTGCTGTGTGACCCTGGACAAGTCACTTAACCCTGTTTGCCTCAGTTTCCTCTTCTGTAAAGTGAGCTGGGAAAGGAAATGACAAATCACTTCAGGATCTCTGCCAAGAAAACCCCAAATAGGGTCATGAAGAGTCTATGACTCAACAACAAAACTACACCATCCCTTTTCCCCTCCACCAAGTCTCTTCTCTAGGATCCTTTGCTTCTGCTCCAGGGTCCTATTCTTTTAATTCTTCTTTTTATGTCTCTAGACCCCTAGCCACCCTGGTTTTCATCCTCTACTGCACTCTACTTTGTTAGCAACATCAGTCCTTTCTGGGCTACTGCCCTCAGCTGACCCAGCCTTCCCCAGGGACCATTGGTTGGTGTAATAGAGCTCTTTAGCAAATCCCCTCAAATTAACTATGGGATTAAGGTTGAATTCTCAAGAGGTATTCCCCAAGGAGCTGCTCTGACTACAATGTAGGTAAGCCTACCCTCTCTGCCACCCCTTCCTTATGCGACCTGATCTTGCTTAATCCGATCTCTCCAGGGAAAGCAAATGAGAAAAACTAGCCCCACTAATGGGGGGTTGGGGGTAGGGAGAAGGCAGGGAACTGAATGGATGAAGATGAGGCTCCTGCACAGGTGTTAGCAATCTCTTGCCAAGAATTGAGAATGAGTTTAAAAAAAAAAATTTGCCCCTCTCAACCTATTAAAATGGTTACACCCCTCTTGACTGGAAGGAATAGAAAGCTGAAATCAAGAAACCAGTTTAGTAGAAAAAGATCAATGCATTCCTTCCTTCAGTTCCACAGCCATCCTGCACCTCTGGTGCTGTCTGGTTCCTCTGATTCAAGCATTTAAGACAGAGACGTCAAGTCATACATTAACTCTGTTAGAGTCAGACTGTATACATGTTTGGCATAGTATTAGAAAAGAAAGGGGATATTTTTGGTCCTTATCCAGTAAGTATCTGAAACTCCACCATTAGAGAGTCATTCCTTTGGCATTCATTCTTCAAGGATTCTCCATTAAAATGCAAATACCTACAGGTGGAGTTAAGACCTTTCACTTTATCTCAGTTGAAGTGAAAGTAAGGGCAGATTGAGGCGAGAGGATCAGAGGAAAGATAAGAACTTGGTAAAGAAAGAGAGGAAACTTATTTCACATTTTTGCTTAAAGTCTATGTAGACATAGTAACATATATGTCTACATGTCCTGTGGACTATTTGTGTCCTAGGTAAGTAATGGGTGTGTGGATATCCCTCTGTGGACTTTACCTTCTAATCCTAAATGCAAGATTCCTATGCTACAAAATAAAAGTTCCCTCCCCCCACACCAAGTCCCCACTGTGTCCTGGTATCTAAAACCTAATCTCCTTTTTTCCTCATTCATTCTCAGGATTGGCAGAAAAAGCTTTCTTACCCACCAAGCTTAAGCCAAGAATATGACCAAAAAAAAAAGTTTTCTTCTGGGTCCTTATCTTGCCCTACCAAAACAAATGGGATGGCTGAGAGAATGTGATCTCCATTTCCTCTGGGCCCCACTACTGCCAAGATCTGGACTTCTATGGAATTCTCACAAATCAAATACTGGTAGCCCTTGGCTTTTTTGCCAGTGTTCTCCCAGTATTTCCCAAGCATCACAGTGGTGCCCTACTAAGACCACCCTCATAAACTTTGCAGATATACAAACCAAAAATCCAAGAGTGGGGTAGGGTCTTTTAACATATCCTAATGTCAAATCCAATAGCTATTCCCTGGGTAGCCACCATCCTTTCTAATAAATAAGGATATTTGTGGGGATAAAAGAGGGATATGGGGGAGACCAGGTCAAGAAGATGCCCTTGCTATATTCTGGTTGGTCCAGGACAGAATATAAAGCTGGATTTTTTAATTTTATTTTATTTTTTAGCTCATCAGATCATAGATTTTGAGTTGGAAAAGACCAAGAGATCAGCTAGTTCAGGAATTCTTAACCTTTTTGGTGTCAGTCTAGCAAAACCTATGGACCCCTTCTCAGAGTAATGTTGTTAAATACATAGCATTGCAAAGGAAACCAATGATGGTCAAAGCTGTCATTTTTTCTATTCAAATTCATGGATCCCCTGAAATCTATCCATAGAACCCTTGTCCATGGACCCTAATCCTGACCTGGTCAAATTAGAGATCACCTAGTCCAAGTGGATCGTTTTGACCCAGAGATATGAAGTAATTTAGCATGGGTGACCCAAAGTAGCAGAGCCAGAATCAAATCTGGGTCCTTTGAATCCCAAATTTGCCGCTTCCCTTCCCGCCCCCAGTATTTTAAATACTGTTATGTCCTGAAGTTTCAGACTATGCAAATTCTTCCATTCCCCAGGAATTTTTCCAAGTATAGTAGGTAAGTAAGTAACTTGGTTCTATCAGACATAAGGCAATGTTTGCTGTCAAAGAAAGAACATTCTTAAAGGGCAGTGAGAGGTTAAAAATTAGTTCAGCATTGTTCCCTCCTTAACCTTTTTTCCTTTGAAGAAAAAGGTACTAACCTAGACCTGTCTTCCCCATCTCTTCTGCCTCTGCTCTTATTTTAGCCAACCATTTTCCACTATCCCTCCTTCACAATGAAACTAGACCCTGGAACTAAGATCCCAGTGAGGTCCCACCCAGTTTAAATCTTGAATGTATGTGGAACGTGGCTTATGGGATTGAGGGGGACGGAGTTGGGCATTTGTACCTTCTGAGCCCAGAATATTTGCCTTGTGCTGAAGGCTTTTAAAGGGTGTTGCCTAAACTAAATGTGTAGGTGGAGGGGCTGTCCCAGACTCAGGAAGGGAGGTTTTCCAAGTCCAGCCAGAGATTTCAATAGAAACTGAAACCAGAGAAGGGTGTCTGTCAGTTGCCTAGAAGGCAAATCCTGTGTTTTTACTTACTTGGATACCGGTAGTAGAAGTCATTCTCTATGTCGCTGGAAATGTTACCGTGCCTCTTCTCTTCGATCCAGTGTGCATCAGCTTCAGGATCATAGCGCACAAACACCCCAAAAAGGACCACCATGACTACCTCTAAGATGAAACAGGTGAGTGGCAGTCGCCACCGAAGGTTAGTATTCCATGCCATCTTGGGTGACTTCCCTAGCTACTGTCCTGGCAGCCCAGCCATAGGCACCCAGGAGAGGATGAGGAGCTTAATATCAAGACAGGGGAAGCCTTGGTGCTCTGGTGGCTTTGAGGGAAAAGGAGATCTTATAACTCAGGGACAGGGGGTGTGGCCATGGAGGGCAGGGATCGCATTGCAGAGCCACTAAGCAAGGTTATGAGCTGGCATGTTCTGCCTCCTGCCCAGAGAGATGGGGCTACTGGGTACCAGTTCTTGGGCTATTCTTAGTGAGACAGAGGTAACACCAGGAGCTCTCAAGATCTGACCTTATGTGCTGCTAACACAGGATTGGGGGGCTTCAAAAATTCCATCTGTCTTTAGAAGGGAGAAGTCTTCTACATTTGGCCTCTGGTCCCCCACCTTATAGTGAAAAGAGGAAGAGAAAGGTCAAGAGGTCCCAACTAAAGAACTGTTAGTACTGTGAGTGGGAAGATGTGAGAGAGAAATGACCACTTTTACTCATCATATTTCTAGTGGCAACTAGGTAAGGGGGAGATTTGAGATTAATTCTGACTTGGTAAGGAAGAGAAGAGAGCAAATACATATCTTACGGTTTCTTTTGATGTCATATCTGGTCTTTTTAATTTTTTTTTCCTAGTAGAAATGTAAAGAGTGTCATGTGCCTTAGATAGGCACTGAGACAGAGAGAAGGGGAATCCCACATTCTTTTTCCTCCAGTATCAATGTCCTGGGTGAAATGTGAGTCTAAGCAATTCATCAGGGTTTGGGTGCAAAAAGCCTTCATTCAGTTCTACACCCAATGCTCAATCACCTACGCTGTCAGAAGGGCTTCATGAGTTCCTGCTTCAGGACAAAGTGAGTAATACAAGGATGATGAGCCTGTTGAGGAAAAATTCAAGCCAGGGCATGGCCCTCCTATCCTTATTTATGCTAGAATTGTCTGACTCCCTCCAGCTCAGCCCTTTCCACTTCTGCATAATTGTCACAGAGCTGCAGTTATGCCTGCCAGGGTTTTGATTTTTGTTTTTGTTTTTGTTTCCCCCTCACAAGGGCATAGTCTCGCTGGGAGGGAATTATAATTTCAGGAGGTCCCCCACCCACCCAATTCAGATAATAAACAGTCCCCAATCCCCAAACCTAGACTGAGGAAGTCATCCAACCAAAAATTGAGGACTGCTGCTGCCTCTTTTATTACCAGGGACCAAACCACCACAAACTAAAAGAAATAATCTTATGCATTTCCTTTAGTGGACAGCACAAATTGTCAGTAACTTCTTCCCAATAATGAGTTCAAATCTGCATTCTGTAATATCTATCCATTGATCCTTCCGGCTCTAGAGTCACACAGGATGTCTATTTCCTTTCAAATTCAAAAGATTCTAGGCTAGAATTTCTGCCATGAACCAGCCTTGTGGCTTGGACAAACCTCTGGGTCTCAGTTTCCATCTCTGCAAAGTGAGGGGGTAGGACTGAATGATCTCTAAAGTCCCTTCCAGGCCAAACTTCCATGACTCCGGGGAGCCTGACCTCTGAATATCCTCCTCATCTTTATCCTTTAGAGTTTCACTTCAGTTCAGAATAATAACTGATTAATACAAGCAACCCCACGCCTCGATACCTCTCCAACCTTCCCTCTCCCAGAACTTGGGCTGTTCCTAAACTAGCCTGAAATCAGTTCAGCCAATATTTGTGAAGCACCTGCTGTGGGGAGAACTCTGTGTGACATCGAAAATTTAGCTAAGATGCAATCTTCGTCTTTATGAAGCTTACAATCTAGTAGAAAATTGTGGCTGACATTTGTACATACATTACAGTTTTTGTTGTTTAATTTTTGGACAATCAGTGATTTCATTGATATAGGAAACTCCCAATAATCTCTCTACCAGTGCAGAGGGTACCTACTCTACAAGCTATAAGCTTGGAGAGTTGCCTCTGGGCACTGATGATTTAAGTTGCCCAGAGTCACAGTATGAATTAGAGGCAGATCTTGAACCCAGGTCTTCCTGACTCTGGAGCCAGCTCAATGCACAATGACATGATAATTACATTATGGTTTACAAACTGCTTCACGTGCATCATTTCATTTGACAGCCTTCTCCCAATGATGCTAGATAGCTATAAATTATGAAACTCCATGGCATCAGGAGAAGGGTGATTACAGGTAAAGCAACATGCAACGGAATGAGCCTGGTGAGTGCAAATGGGATAGTCAGTTTATAAGCAACCTTAGCTTTGTCTGAGAAATGACATCAAAGACATCACAGTGGGGACATCAGTAACTAGAAAAAAGGAAGACCTGGTTATCTATTGAGAGGCAGATATAGCAGACATCTTGAGTATAACGTTGGTACCCTCAAAGTAGTAAAATAACTAGAGGAAGGTCTCCATTATGTGAGGAGATTCCTATAGGGGAAATTCGTGGAAAGACAGGGGCAAGAATTTCTTACTGGGGAGCAGACTCTCTGGGAGTCATGGTCTTATCCAAACACATCCATCCAGTCCTGAGGATCCAGATGAAAGCAGTTATTACTTTATAGGATGTTGGCTCTCAGTATAGAATGCCACTTTTAGGATACTGGCCCTCAGCCTGTGAAAAATGATATGTCTCTCCTAGAAGGAGTTTATCCATGAACACACTTTCCTAGGTCTTTCAAGTCACATGTTTAAACTTTCCTTATGCTTTTAAAACTTTTCCATTCCAGCTCCCCAATCACATTTTTGTGACTCTTGATAGCCTAGACCTTCATGACCAATCATTCTAACTAAGCTCTCAGTTATCCCTTCTAGGAAGCAGTCAACCAAATAATTTATTAAGCATCTACTAAATGCCTACCACTGTTTTAGGACCTGTGGGAAATACAAAGATGTATAAGACATGGCGCCTACTATGGAAAAAGTTTATGGTCTGTTAGAGACCACCATCTTGGTTCAAGCCTTTATCACCTGTCAGCTGGACTATTATAAGAGCCTCCAAATTGACCTCCCTGCTTCATGTCTCTCCAGACAATTACATGTAAGTGAACTCATCCTGTAAGGTGCTACTATGAGACTGGGGAAGATGCCAGTCTTTAGGAAACTCTGTTCTGATTTGCTTAACCAATTAAAGGTGTGTTGGAAGAGCCTGTGGCTTCCACTTCCTGCTCATTTGCCTCAAGTCTATGTATTATCACTACGGCTTGCTGAATAACTGGATACGATGATTGTTCACAGTAAGCAGAAAAACAGGGCAGGGCTCATGCTTTGGCAACATAGAGCCAGGGATGTCAGTGGGGAGGAAAACTGAGCCAGAGATGAATCAAAAAAGGAATTGTTCACCTTTCCTGCTACCAGCACTGCTGCTGTGAGACTGGGCTTTCCCCAAACCAGCAGTCGTTGCACTATTTACCCTGGGACAATCACTATCTGACTTCATTTTATTCTCCCTGCCTACTCTACCTAAACCACACACAGAGCTAATATAATGTGGTGAAGACAAAGATCACTTGGCAAAGGATCCTTAGTATTTTGATCCAGGTCCCAAGTTATTCCTACCATAACTAGGGTATCTAATGTCTGTTCTGGCTCTATTTTTTTAATTCTATCAATTTAAATGGAAGTATATATGGGGATATCAACCAGACATCCCACATTTTCCAGGACAGTCAAAATTTCAAGAAAAGAGAGTGCACACTTAATGAAGTTTTGCAAAAGGGATGTCCTTTAGCAGACCATAGTTCCAGTTTTAAATCTGGTAAATATGGACACCATAATTATGGAACTACAGTTTCATCCTAGGAGGCCTTCTCTTCTCCTTCTATATGATTTCCTTTGATGATTTTATCACTTCCCATGGATTCAATTATCATCTCTATTCTAATGATTATCAGATCTACTTATTCAGCCCTGACCTCTTTCCTAACGTCCAGACTCCTATCACCAACTGCCAATTGATCATCTTGAACTCAAGATGTATGAAACTGAACTCATTATCTTTCCCCCAAATCCTCCCATCCTCCTAATTTCCTATTACTATTGAGGATACCATCATCCTCCCAGTCACCTAGACTTACAATCTAGCTACACTCTCACTCCCCATATACAATCTGTTGCCAAATCCTATCATAACTCAGCCTCCTCCTACCTTTCTAGTCTTCATCTCCCACCTTGGGATCCAGTAACACTGGCCTTCTTGTTGTTCTTCAAACTAGACACTCCATCTCCCCCATTCAGTGTATTTCTTCTGGAGGTCTACCGTGCCTGGAATTCTCTCTCATCACCTTTTACCTCCTGGCTTCCCTATATTCAATTCCCAACTAAAGCCCTACCTTCTACAAGAGGCCTTTTCTGATCCCTCTTAATGCTGGTACCTTCTCTCTGACATTATCTGCAATTTATCCTGTATGTGTTTGGTTCATACATAGTTGTTTGCATGTTGTCTTCTTCATTAGACTGTGAATTCCTTGAAAGCCAGGACTATCTTTTGCTTTTCTTTATATCACTATCACTTAGCACAGTGCCTTTCATACAGTAGGTGCTTAAAAAAATGCTTATTGACTGACAGGAGCCTCTAAAGAGGATCTGGCTACCTCGATGTATCTCCATCACTCTAGTGTTTACCTCCCAGGATGCCTCCTTTCCTCCACCATAGCTGATCTTTATACTCTTGTGGAGTTTATCACCCAGCCTAGCTTCAGGCTGTTATGGACTCAAAGGAGGTATAATAGGGATAAAGAAATAGAACTAGCATATCCCTACATCTTCTTCTTCCCAAAGTGGAGTTTGGGGTGGACTAAGTTGGAGTTTCCCAAATAATGACTTAGGGCAAAGCCAGAGGTGTGCTGGCTCCTGTCTAACACATAGATATTGTAGGCAATATTACAATATGTCTGGCAGGATGGTGATACCATGTAATAAATGCTGAGTAAGTATTTGTGAATGAGGAAGTAAAACATGATGATCACTAAAATATACATAAAATAATGGGATTTAACATTAGAAAGGATCTTAGAAATCATTTTTTTAAAATGAGGAAACTAAGGCCAAGTGAGATGAAGTGACTTACCCAGGGAAGTAAGTGGCAGAGCCAGGATCTGGACCTAGCCCTTGTGACTTCCAAACCAGGGTTTTTTTCTGCTACATCTCTCCATAATGAGATTTCAGCATCCTTCATTTCTGCTCTTGTTGTCCTCCTTTTAACACTCAGTTGTCTGCTGATTATACCAAAAAGAGGGACAAAGAGTCAAAAGATGTGAGTTCTTGTCCTACTCAGCCACTGTAGTACCCTAGCAAATCATTGAGTATACAACATGCCTTAGTCATTTTTCCCATCTTGGAAACGGTAAAAATCATACCTACTCTCAAGGAATCCCAGAAGAGTTTACCAACATTGCCATTCCCCTTTGCTATCCCTTCTGAGTCCCTTGAGGTCTTTGATAGCAAAGAAATTTAAGTTCTACTTACTTTTCTGCCTCCTAACCTTCAGTCTTAAAGCTTTTTCTCCCCCATTTGACTTATGAGTCCTTGAACTAATGCTTTGGAAACACACAGCTAGCACACATTTGTACACATTGAAATGGATGGCGGGATTTGTATAGGGGTATCCCAAAGTTAGCAGTCCTGTCGGGTTCTGGATGCCTCCCCTCTAGGAAAATGACTTGAAGAAAATTACTTCAGAGACTCAAGCTTCCTCTATGATATCACTCAGATGATGTCACTTCCCCTGCACTGGGTGAAAAGTCAAAGAAGTTTTTAAGCCAATGGAAAATGAAACTACAGCCAGAAAAAAAGGTAAAAAACAAAAAAGAAGCTGTGCTTTGAACTTGGGACAAGATTATATTCTTCAGATCCAACTGTACAGGTTTATTCCACTAGTTACAGAAAATAAAGATAAAGGTGTACCCACTTAACACATATTTAGCTCAGAAGGAACTAATTACTATAGCTGCCACACCCTCTTCTGAAAGGAAGAACATACATTTACAGCAAGGGGTTAAAAGTAATAGGGTACGGCTACTTTGGGTTTTTCAAGTTTCTCTCCATTATCTATATAGTAAGCACTTAATGCTTACTGACTCATCTCCCTTCTGCCAGAACCTGAGACTCTACCCCTGGAACCACCCAGATACTTCAGCTTTTGCTTGACCTTACCCAGAAAGAGGCTTCCATATCTCTTGAGCCATTTCCAAACCTAGCCTCTCAGACAGCGCCATTGTGGCTCTGGGACAGCGGCTCCTCTTCAGTGATTACAAAGTAAGCTCCATAAGGGCAGACATTGTCTTGTTTTCTTGCATTTATACCCTCAGCACTTAGTACTTTGGCACGTAGTGAGCATTTAACTGTTTTATTTTTTCTTCTTGGGCTGACTACAATCCCTTAAGTGTTGATATTTTAGCACCAGGCTGAGGCTGAGAAATCCCATTGTACTTCAGTCCCTAAACATCCAGGAAGGAGCCTAGGTGTGTGTGGGAAGAGGCCAGCCTTGGAGTCAAGAGGACCTGAGTTCAAATCTGGCCTCAGACACTTGACACTTACTAGCTGTGTGACCCTGGGCAAGTCACTTAACCCCGATTGCCTCACCAAAAAAAAAAAAGAGAGAGTTCAGCTTTCCTCATACTGTAAAGAATGAGTCCTAAAAAGACATTACTCAGTGATATATCCCCAAACTCAGCTTAATATAACTTTCCCTTATATCACACATGAGCTAACTATTTCAATACCCATCACACACACACACACACACACACACACACTTTCTTACTTCACTTTTCAGGTTCCCCTGTCCTCAAATGAGTAGTTTTAGAACCAGAGAAACAGAGACAAGGTTGCTCTCTATCAGGAGTTTGTAACATAGGATCATGGATGTGAAAAAAATGTAACATCTTTATTTTCACTAACCCCTAACTGAAATTTAGTATTTCCTTCAATTATGACTGTAAATAACAAAACATTTTGAGGTCCCTAGGACCCACCAAACTGCAAAGGGTGTCTATGACAAAAAAAAAAGGTTAAAAGCTCTGATCTAGATTGTGTAGGTCTCAAAGGCCACGGTAGACAAGGGTCAAGAGTAGGCAGTATTGGAAGAGTGAGTCTTAGGGAGGAAAAGAAAATAGAAGAGGAAAAGAGAGAAAAAGCAAAGTGGTTACATTAACACTTCAGAAATCACCAAAGCCAAAGAAACTTGGCAAGCAGAGTATGGGGCTGACCCAGGAAGCAGGCAGCCTTGCTTAATTTCCACCTATGGGTGTGTATGTGTAAATAGAGGCCCCACTTGGGTCAAAAACACCTTGAGTAGAGGGAGGAAAGGGACCAGAAGTCTGCTTCCAGTTGCAGCAGGCTTCCCTCTGGGTTATACCTGTTGTCTCAAACCTCTTCCCACTGACCGACTCTGAGCACGGGATGCTGCTCTGGGGGCGCTAGGGCCATGAAGAAGCGTATTCCCTGGGCTGGCAGCCTCATCAGCACTGGCCAGGCTGGTGTCACTGGCATGGAAGGGGCTCACACTCTCCTGACCTGTAGAAGATTCTATCTTTCCACTTCTCATTCACAGCCTTCATCCCGAGGGATGCCTTTTCTTTCCATCTGATACGCCACCAACTTCCAGCTCTCTCCTCCTGCGGTCCTGCTTCTCCCTCTCTAGCTCTGCTGATGCTCCTGAATCCTGTCCTTCAGTCACCATTACAGCCATCTCCTATCTCTTCCCCTTCGGTTCCTGAAGGGCAGGAAAACAAAACATGAAAGCTGGTCTCCTCATCCCATCTCCAGGAAGTCATGAGTTTTCTAAGAAATAGTTCCACAGCTATACTTCCCACATATCTCAGGAACAAAATTCAAATTGGTCCAGAGGGGATCTCTATTCAGACCCTGAAAGGATAAAAAGGGAAGTAAGCTTTTATTAAACACCTACTATGTGCCAGCCACTTTACAAATGTTATCTCATTTGATCCTTACAAGAGTTGTGGGAGGTAGATGCTATTATTATCATCTTATAATTGAGGAAACTGAGGCAAATGAAGGCTTACCCAGGGTAAGAGACTAAGTATCCAAAGCTAGACTTGAACTCAGGTCTTCCTGACTCTAGGCACAGCACTCTATTCACCCCACCACCTAGCAGCACCTAAGAATAAGGTTAATTATTCTGTCTCAGTCAACTAGCATTTAGTAAATGCTTGCTACTTGTCTTGCACTGTGCTAAACTCTAGGAATAGAAAGAAAGTCAAGACTGAGGATGGAGCATGTTTCTCACCTGCTGACAAAGAGGTGATAGACTTTGGGTTCAGAATGAGACAAACATTTTTTGGATATGGCCAATATAGTTATTTTAACTTTTTTTCCTTGACTATGTATATTTGTTACAAGGCTCCCACCCACTCCTATCCCTATCCACTGGGGTGGGAGGAGGCAACATGGGAGAAAGAAAAATATAATTTTTTGTTTCTTCAGAAAAAAAAGAATAAATTTAAGAGGCAAATACAGGATCCCTGCTCCCAAGGGCTCACATTCTAATGAAGGAGACAAGATGAAAATTACTATGTTATGTACAAGCTATATTACAGTGTAAATAGGAGATTACCTCTGAGAGTTGTCTAGTCTATATGCTGTCATAGGTGCTTGCCCCTTTTACAGCAACCTGCCTCACCAGCCCACAATGGGGCCTCCAAAAAGGGACTCAGAACAAGGGTCATAACTTTTTTTCCAGGCTGATAGTCTCAGCTCATTGCACTGGCTACTCCCTAACCTGTTCCAACCTTATCTTGGGATGATCAGAATCTCTACTGCCTGGCTTTCTGCACAAGGTCACCTACATGTTCCAGTGGTTTCTCTCAGCCTTGGCCCTTGTCTACCCCCTGCCCAGGAATGGAAAAAAAGCATTTTAAAGAGTCAGTCTTACCTGTTTTCTATCTTCCATAACTGAAGATAAGACAAGAAAATCAAAGAATCAGACACTATCACAGCTGGAAGGTACCTAGAAACCATTGGGTCCACCCCATATCTGAACAAGAATTCCCTATACAACATATTTGACAAGGGACCATTCAGGCTGTGCTTGAAGACCTGGGCCCCTCTGAGCCAGCACATTACACTTTGCTATGGTTGTCATTGTTAGAACAAGGTTCCCTCATATGGAACCTAACTCTGTCTCTCTGCCACTTGTCAGTCAGTCAACAGGCATTTATAAAGCAATTATGAGTTCCTTTGCTAAGTTCTAGGGATACAAAAACATGACTCCTACCCTGGAGGAGTCGATATTCTGATGGAGCAGATAGACAACATGCATACAAGATATACACAATGTAAATGGCAGGTCATGTCAGAGGGCAAGGTGCTAGCAGTAAATTTACTAGGGAACACCTCCTGCAGAAGGTAAGAATTGAGCTTAGGAACCCGGGAGACAGAAGTGAGGAAGGAGAGCAACCCAGGCATGGGGGACAGCCATTGAAAAGGCAGATCCAGAAGACAGAGTATTGTGTGTGAGGAAACCATAGTTGAGGTCAGTATTGGAGCTATAGCAGGGGATGTGAAAGGGAACACAGTGTAAGAAGACTGGAAGGGCAGGAAGGGGCCAGGTTGGAAAGGACTTTAAATGCCAAACAGAGCATTTTCTATTTGACCCTGGAGATAAGAGGGAGCCACTGAATTTTATTGAATATAGGATGGATGAAAAGTTTGATGTGGTAAAACCTAAGCTTTAGGAAAATCTCTCTGGCAACTGAATGAAGAATGGATTAGAGTAGGGAGAGACTTAAGGGAAAAGGGTTTAATGTAGTGAGACCTGTACTTCAGGAAAATCACTTTGGCAACTGAGTGAAGGATAGATTAGGGTAGGGAGAGACTTTAAGCAAGACCGAACAGAAGACTATTGCCATAGTCTAGGAATGAGGTGTTGAGGGCCTGAATCAGGGTGGTGGTTGTGTGAATAAAGAGAAAAGGACATGTACAAAAGGTATTGTGAAGGCAGAAACCTTAAGACTTCACAACAGATTAGATATGTGGGGAGAATGAAAGTGAAGAGTCAAAGATGACCTCTAAGTTTTGGAGACTGGGAGACTGGGAGAATGGTGATTTCCTTGAGAGTAAGTTAGAAAGAGGGGAGGGTTTGAGGGGAAAGACAATTTTGCTTTGGACATGTTGAGATGTCTATAGTACATTCAGTTCAAGATGTCCAAGACGAGAGCTCAGGAGAGAGACAGTAGAGCTAGATGTGCAGATCTTGAAATCATCTAAGTAGAGATGATCATTGAATCCATGGCAGCTGACGAGATCACCTATTGAGATAGTCTACAGAAGGAAGAGAAGAGGGCCCAGGACAAATTCTTAGGGGAGACCTACAGTTAGTGGGAAGGTCCTGGATGAATATCCAGGAAAGGATCAGTATGATAAGGAATGGTCGTAGAGGTAGGAGAGCCAGGAGAGAGCAATGTCATGAAAACCTAGAGAGGAAACAGTATCCAGGTGAAGATGAAGCTTATTCTTTCCAGGGTACCAAGAAAATGTCTCCTTATTAATGTTTTGGACCACTAAATAGGAAATCATCAAGTAATCTATCAAATAATCTTTCAGAATAGGGAGTGTTTTTTCAAGAAAAACAAGATGTTAATTGTCCTGACAAATTAGATAGATGTTATATTTGTATAACCTGTGGATTACAAGGGGAAACATGAATCCATGTATCTATGCATCATCAAGGGGGAAAGGATGATTTCCTATCATCTTCAAGTGCTTTTTCTCTTTATTGGTGGGAAGGAGCCTCAACAGTTAGTATGGTACATAGTATGACACAGCAAACTGGACTGGAGAAGGCGAAGAAGGTTCACTGGAGAGGCAGAGTTGTTTTGCTTATTTATGACTCAGGTCCAAGCCCTTTTCATTTTTGTCAGATAAAATAAAATCTGTCCTTTATTTAATGTCTTGTTAGCTTGAATGCTTGCATGGAAGCTAAGGAATCTTTTATGTTCTTTTTTGTAGCCCTATGATAAAGGACTCTCTCCTTATTGGTAGAGATTAATGTCCCATGCCTGTGTAAGGAGCAGGGTGGAGTTCATGAGAGTGGGAGAGAGGGGAGCCCTTTAGTCTCTTACTTTCTTCAAGTTTTCTCAAGTGTCTCGAGTCTCTTTAGGCTCTGCAGTCACTCTGGGTATGTCTGGTCTCCAGCTTTGAGAGAGAAGATGGATGATGCCAACCTCACTTCAGGTTGCTAAAAGGAAAAGAACACTCTGGGAAGAAGTCAAAATGAGAGGCACCATCAGCCTCCATTATGTTCCTCCCCCCATCTTGCTATACTCAAGACTTCAGGGAATTTCCCCTTGGGTGAGCTCTGGGACTCTCTCGGTTGAGCTGAGCTATCTCACTTCCAGTAAGAAAGCGCCTTCATTTGGTATTGTCTAGTTTATATTCTCCTACTTTCTCTGATTGCTATCGAGTTGGAAAAGTGGGTTTCTTTGATAAGTGCTATGTCAGTTCGCTGTGGAACTAGTATCTGGAGGGGAGTCAAGCCTTGGATATATAACTAGGGGTTCTCCTTTCCCATGAATGAAGAGCAATCAGTGACTCTAAAAACTACATTCCTAGACTAGACTAACAATATTTAAGCAAGCAGATAGATGTGATTCCAACCTGGTATGCCTCTCTCTGAGGACAGCAGAATGCCAAGCTTCTGGCCCTAACCTCTTGCTTCCCCTCCTGACAGGAAATAAAGCCGTGGAAGAGGTGGTGGGGAGGGAAGGGGAAGCTAGAGATATTAATTCTAACTTCCTTCAAGCCACACAACGCCCCCACGCTACGTGTGCTAAGTCAATCCTCACTGCAGGTCCCCAATGGGAAGGCCTTATGTTCTGAGGGAATCGTTGGAAAAATTTCCACCCAAGATAGTTTTCTCCTTTGCAAAAAGGGATAATATCAACTTGACCTGAGGTCACAAAGCCCTGTAGGGAGAGCTCCATGTAGCTTGGAAAGCTCAGTGTGAACCAGGTTCCTGTTCAAGATAGAAGCCAGTTTTCTTTGTCTTTGCTCTTTATTTTGCTTGTGGATTGAAAAAGGTTTATAAGACTAAGGCTAAACAAGCAGAGAGATTCTTATTTTGTTGAATTTGGGGAATTTCGTGAAATGTTCCTTGATCTGTGAATCTGCAAAACTTTGTATTTGGAGATAATTATGATTTTTATCTGTACATATGGGATTGTATATGATAATGTAACATTAGTTGTTTTGAGTTTTTACTATATATGGCACAGGGGAAGGAAATGAAAGGATATTGCTTATGCCTCCTCAGGGACCATATAACACTGTTCTGAATTTGGGATGAGGACTGTGCTAAAACACACGTGCGCACATGCACACACACACACACACACACACACACATGCAAGCACACATGCGTACCCTTGTCTATTTGCCAGAGATGGCAAATGTCAAACCAGGGAAAATACGTAACCTAGGGTTTTCTGGGCATATCTAGATTCCGTAAGATGGATATATTCATCCCCAGCCATGTAGGTAGGGGTGGCCTCCTTTGATTGGCAGTTTGCATCTTTAAAATCGATGAGATTAAGCTGATCTAACTTTTTTTTAAAGGCAATTGGGGTTAAGTGACTTGCCCAGAGTCACACAGTAAGTATTATGCATCTGAAGTCACATTTGAACTCAGGTCTTCCCGCTCCAGAGCCAGTGCTCTGCCCACTGCACCACCTAGCTGCCCTCCCCCCATCTA